AGCATGTCAGATGGCCAAGGCAGGAGTTGTAAACAGCAACCTATTGAATAAGGAGGAAATAAACCACCTTATAACCGAAATCGAAGTTCTCCCCTACAGCAACGTCATCGAAGCTATTGAATATATTGAACCATCAATCTATACCAATGGCACTCTTTTACTTTACGTGTTGTCTATGCCAAAGGTAGCCCCAACGAGGTTCAACCACCTAATCACACGAGCAATTCTGAGGGATGACCACCGGGTGGATCTTAGATATAGGACCAAGAACAGACGTATGGTGTCAAGGATAGCTGTCTACACCTCGCCACCGCCATGGTTTGCAAGCAAGAAGTGCTAGACCTACTGCCTGAAGAGGAATCTTTACCACGCCTACTCAAGGGAGGTCAAACAAGTTGCCGCTACCTAAACTGCGCAGATACAACAGTCGAGGTGCTTAAGGAAGACGCAATATTCCCGGATAATATTAACAGCACCGTATGGTCAGGTAAAACCTCTAAACACCTCTCTGGTTCTTATATTCTACAGATGGAAAATGAGACGATAACAATCAATAACCAAACCTACTGGAGTACCAGCAGCTCAGGCGTGCAGGTGCTCCCATCTGTGCTGTCTGCTATAACTAACAAAAGCCTGGCGGTAAATCTCAATCTCGTTCATGAAATGACGTCCGGAAACATACGTCTCTTGGGTTACCTAGAGAACAAAGCTAACTGGTTCGCAACATTTGAGGCTTTAGGACTATTTTTGAGTGCCAGAACATTTTAATTTCACAACTAAATGTAACGGGAGACATTTGCACCTGCATTCCACAACTTGCCCGTGGGAAACCAAGGCCAAAGCCGGTCTCAGACAACGGGCTGCAAACACGTTATACAACTTTTGCGACGCTGCCGCAGAAAGGCTATATAACGACAAACGATCACAGCGGGCAGACAGTCGAGCTCGGGATGGATCTAGATTAAGTAGGATTAGTGAATATATTGTATAATAAAGTGTTGTGAAATAGAATTTAACCTTTGTTTAATTAACACGAGCTGATGGCTCGATCATTTTTTTAAGTGTAATCAACTGTAGGATTTTAACTTCAATATAGCTACCAAACATTATGGCAATGATGCATATGCTAATGACATTGCCTATTATATAATTGCAAGCTTTTTGATATAAGTAGGTTTTCCTTTTTAAATACTCAGTATGTAACTATGTGTACACTAACATGTGTTCTATTCTAAATAAATAAACAGGAGGCCCTGAAGGTGCTAAAATATTTAGCGAAACGTTGGGCAAAAAGTGGATAAATTAGTTTTATTTGCACTAATTAAACCAGATCAGCTAAGCCTAACCTAATAATAAATACATCAAAATAGTTGAACTGATCGCTTAACAAAAATTAATAAAGTAAATTTTTTCTCTTTAATCCCTTAGGGTAGTTCTGCTGTAATAAATTTTAAGCTAAAAAGTTCTGGTGGTTAGACAACCTTAATGAGTAATTTTTAAGCAATCACTCTATTTCCTCGGTGACGGTTTTAATCACGATTCGTTGTGGATTTTGGAGTTTTTTTACACACCAAGAGGCTTTGCATATTGATCTTAAGGCTTTAGACTGTAGTCTTTGAGTTCTGTCTAGGGTAGATTTAGAAGCATATTAAAAATTAAAATTTTGTTTTCTAGACTTAGTTTGACCTTAGAGCCTACAATCCAATACAAGTTCGCAATTTTCAATTTGGTTTGAGTAATCTTTTTGTCCATGTGGTTTTTCCAGGTGAGTCTTTTATGCAATGTAACTCCCAGGTAGGTAACGAATTCTTTCTTAGATATTATATTCCCTTTTATAGAAAATGAAGGTCATGTGTCTTTTTTTAGAGTAAACGTTATTTGTATACACTTAGACTCATTGACTTTTATTCTCCAAGTTTTTAGCAACTGTTCTATTACTTTTCACTGTTCTTGTAATCTGTAATTGGCTGTCATTGGGTTTGAATGGACACTAAGCTGTATCATCCGCAAAGGTTAATGTGATGAGGTTTCGGTTTGTGCGAAGATCGTTCGTATAACCTAAATATCAGACGGGCCTTAAAACACTTCCTTGTGGAACACCATCAAATATTTTGCAGGACTCAGTGGTGTAACTTTTTTGCCTAGCACGAAATTTTCCGCCAATAAGAAAGCTTTCTGAAAAATTATAAATTTTTACAAGAAATGTACCTTTTAGCTTGTATAATAGACCATCTAACCAAACTTTATCTAATGCCGGAGCAACATCGAGGAACTGTTTTGCTTGTTTTTAAACGCTGATCTTATTTGGCTACGATTCTATGCACCTTCTCTATTGTGCTATGTTTTTCTCTAAGCCCGAATTCGTGGCATGGTATGGTCTGTTTCGATTCTAAAATCGGTACTAATTTTTTTCATAAAAGTTTTTCAAAGATTTCTGAGAATAACGTAATTAAGCTAATAGGCCCCCCACAGATGGATATTTACCTGGTTTGGGGACCGTAATAATTTCCGAAAGCTTCCAGGATTTTGGAAAATATCGTAGTCTCAATATATTATTAAATATACAAAGAATGTGTTTAATCGCCACATTTGGAAGGCCTTTTATCATATCACCCGTCATCTTGTCTTTATGTCGTTAGTAATAATTTCTTTAAGAGATTTAAAATTTAATTGAATAAAATTTTCAACTGGATCTACACGAAATTCTGGAAGAGATTTGTACCCAATATTTAGGGTAAATACAGTGGCAAGATTCATGGAAAATGAGGTATCCTTTTTCTGGTCGCTTCGAGCCCATTCACCATGGTGAAGTGTTCAGGAAAATTTGTATATGAATGTGCCGTTTCTAAATTAGAGCTGCCAAAAAGCTGTGTTGCGAAATCCCGTGTTTTTTTTTTTTGGACTAAATTGGTCGTTTTGCAGAAATGGGACTAAATTGGTTGCCACAACGTCTTAACGTTAACCAAAGCCAACAGCAACAATAAGCGCCAAAACGACAGCACCCACAGCGAACACAACGATTGGAAAATAAGCCCTCTGCTTATGTAATCCCTTCTAGGACTGCTTTACCAGCGCCTTCAAAAAAAATAGTGAACAAAATCAAAACAAAATTGTCAAACCACAAAAGAAAAAGACAGCATGAGCAAAAATCGATTTCAATTGCTTTCTAACGCTGATGATCAAGTGCGTGTGCAGAAAACATTCAAGCCGCCGCCAATTCATCTCAGAGAAGCGAACTCTAGCAACCTTTTCAACAAATGGATAGATCTAATTGGAAAAAATAACTTCCATGTAGTCCCAATTAAAAAGGGAAATATCTAGGAAGTGAAAGGGCAAACCTATGGGGCAAATAGCTATCGCAACGTGACAGATGATTTCGAAAAGGTAAAGAAGTCCTTCTATACCTTCCAGCTCAAAAGTAGTCACAGCTTAGCAGTCATCCTAAAGGGCATTGAACACAGTGTAAGTCCCTCGGAAATAGAAAATGCTTTGAAAGAAGAAGGTTTCAGGTTGGAAACGTATTCAACATTAAAAATAAGACCAACATGCCGTAGCCAATGTTTAGGGTTGATATTGAGCCATATTTCCAGCTCTTAATAAAGGGAGAAGCTCATTCCATTTACAAACTGCGGGTTTCATCGTCCTATTTCCGTGGAAGAACCATCTGCATCTTCACCTGGTTTGGGGATCGTAATAATCTCCGAAAGCTTCCAGGATTTTGGAAAATAGCGTAGTCTCAATATACTATTAAATGTACAAAGCATGTATTTAATTGCCACATTTGGAAGGCCTTTTATCATATCACCCGTTATCTTGTCTTTATGTCGTTAGTAATAATTTCTTTAAGAGATTTAAAATTTAATTGAATAAAATTTTCATCTGCATCTGCACGAAATTCTGGAAGAGATTTGTATCAAATATTTAGGGTAAATGCAGTGGCAAGATGCATGGCAAATGAGGTACCCTTTTCCTGGTCGCTTCGAGTCCACTCACCATTGTGAGTTCTCAATGGAAGGTCGCAAGTGACGAGAGTGTGAAAATCTTAACTTTTCGCCAAAAAGAGTAGTTAGTGTCAATAGTAGCTTACAGAGATTGTACGGACTTTTGAAATTCATTTTCTGTTTCTTGTTTAGGACAGGCCGGGGAACGAAGCCTCTGCCAATCTCTTCTAAGTTGTTTTTTTTTTTGGCTACCAGACTTGTAATGCCTTACCTTGAAGACCGTGCATTGAAATTTTCGCTGTCAGATGTAGTAATGTTTTAAAGCCATCATTTGCATTGTCGACATTTGCAATTGATTCTAGAGAAATGAGCGATTTCATATGCGTACTTATGAGTTTTCTGTAATTAACCCAATTTTTAATTTTACTGGTTATTCCCAGCTGTAAGTCATTGAAAACTGGAATTATGTTAATGGAAAATAGACAAGGCGAGTGATCGGATGATAAGTCGCTTACTTGTGCTCTACTGATACCACAAGTTACTCCAAAGTCAATCAAATCTGCGGTTTTGCTGAGATCAGTTGGCCAGTATATTGGCTGACCGGTAGATATAACCTCGATACCGTTATTGTGAATGACTTTATATAAATTTCTACCCTTTGGAGATATCAGCCTAGGTCCTCTGAAGGAATTTTTTGCGTTTTAACCACCTTCTACTAGAAACCTTTTCGAAATCATCTGTCACCTTGCGATAGCTATTTGCCCCATAGGTTTGCACTTTCACTTCCTGGATATTTCCCTTTTTAATTGAGACTACATGGAAGTTATTTTTTCCAATTAGATCTATCAATTTGTTGAAATGGTTGCTAGAGCTCGCTTCTCTGAGATGAATTGGCGGCGGCTGAATATTTTCTGCACACGCACTTGATCATCAGCGTTAGAAAGCAATTAAAATCGATATTTGCTCATGCTGTCTTTTTCTCTTGTGGTTTTGAAAATTTTGTTTTGACTTTGTTCACTATATACACTCTGTGGCAACCAAATTAGTCCCATTTCTGCAAAATGACCAATTTAGTCCCAAAAAACAAGGGATTTCGCAACACAGCATTTTGGCAGCTTTAATTTAGAAACGGCACATTCAAATACAAATTTTCCTGCATACTTCTATGCACCTTTATTTAATTCCAGAGCTTTTAATACTTGTTTAATTATTTTTATATTTGTCTCTGTTCAACTAGTGTAAATTATTTGTTTATAGTTTTTCTGTTTGTTTGTTTTTTTTCTATTGTTTAGTTTTGGTGGAGCGCCAATCTATGCATGAAACACAATTTATTATTTAGAAGGCTTCACTTTCACTTCACTTTGTTCAGTTTCAGAGGAGGCACTTGCCTGAATTACTTTGTATAGTTTGCACAATATATATATTTTATTTAAAAATTGAAATTCAATATAAAGCACTGTCACTTTCATTTTGCACTCCCAAGAGTTGCCAAGAATTTCTTCATCTGATGATGTAAATCTTTTGCTACTTGCGGGTTCCCTATTTGTATAATCTTGCACTTAGTTGCAATTTTTTGGGGCTATTATTATATTAAGACTAGATTTTTGTTGAAATTTTTTCTCGCTGTACTTCTGCTTTGTTATAAATGGAGAATTGTCTGCAGTGTGGTTGATAACAAACTTCAAAAAGCAAAGCAGAGATTGCTTTGAATGACTGAAGCATCACTTGCTGCGTGTATTCTGTAAATTTTAAGGTGTGGAAATTTTTGTGAGAAAAAGCGTAATGTCATAATATGTTGCACTCCACTGAAACTATAGACCCGATTTCATGCTCTTCAGTGATTTGGACCCAACTTAGAGAAGTACTTTTTCGTCATACTTGGTACACAAATAGATTTTACATAGATTAACATGAGCACTATTTTGGCTAAATAGGCCAGGAGCCAACCTGTTAGAAACAAATTGTATTAGTGATTCAATTCAATACAAAGATATTTTATCTATAATTTGAAATATATGTATATATGTATGATTTTTCAATGTATAGTATAGGCTTTAGAAATGCAAATATGAATTAATTCAAGTATACTTACAGAAACGAAGGAGTGCTGTTTAAAAACAAGGAATGCATTTAATAATTTTCACATATTGCATATACTTACAGAAATATATACCTATGATTATAACGTTTTAGTTTCTGTAATCCATATTTACTATCCATATTTCCTTTAGATACAGGCAAAGATTCTAAATTTGCCATTAGCAGATTTATAGATGATTTTAACTCTTCGATATAGAGTGATTCCATTTCCTTCAGAACAAATTTTGGCATTAGCTTTCGATTCTTTTCCATATCACTTACTCGCTGCATTCTGCCATCCAGCTCACGACGAATCGTTGCTGCCTGCTCGTCGGCTGAATCCAACTGAAAATTTCGTTTTTAAAAGGCGTATGCCAAGATATTGATTTTGTTAAATATCTGTCATAACACAAACTTCAATAAGAAATACTGTACTCTTGAGAGATGTAAAGACTTACACCGAAAATTAATTTTCATCCTGTTTTGTTTATTTATTTGCTTTCGTTATAAAGTTGGCGATTTTATTCAGGTTTAATGGATTCCCAGCAGGGAGCAGACGTTTATAAAATCACTTTAAGCGGGTGGCGGCGAATGTGAAATGTATTCAAATTGATCACTTGTCTCGTTTCAAAACGTGTTTACCCAACGCTATAAGAGGCATCTGACGCTACGCAAACGCCAATCACATACCGCTCGAGAGAACCGGGGATACGAAGACGCAAACAGATCAAACTTCGCTGATCATTTGAGAATTCATTCATATATGCCAGAATGTAAGAACTCTTATTATCAATTATCCAGCGCCCTAAGTTATGCAAGGATTTACCGACCTCGGGTCGCGTCTTCAATTACGTTACACAGGAAATAGTGCGGTTTTGGTCATATGTAGTGTAACACCATGCGTCTACGAGAGACTAGCTTAAGTCAAAAAGTTTAACCCAACTAACTATCTTTTAAATATGGTTTACCGAATGCTCCTAACAGTGCTAGGTATTTTTATATTAATATATTTTTTCATAAATAACAATTTAAGGTTACAATAACAAAAATTCCCAATTTTAAAATTATGTTACTGTTTTAGATTCGATTTTCAAAATATTTTAGATTTTCTCGTTTTTTCGTAAAAATTTTTACAACCGTCTCACCTTTATTCATTGATAAAAACGAACCTAACGAGGCACTCACCATTAAAGCGTTAAATAGAATTTGGTGTTCAAATTTCTTCACGCTCAATATCTGTTGGAACATATCATATAACTGTTCCTTAGATAGGATCAATTCACTATTAAGCGACTGTTGCATTCTTGATGGTCTCTTTGAGTCTTCTTCTCCGGTACCTTTAAGTATTATATCAAATTTGGCCATCCACGACGTAAGAACTGTCTCCTTACTCAGTCCATCAATTTCCGGCAGCGATCTAGAATTTCAAGGTAATTTATTTTCATTATTTTGGTTTGAAGGCATAATAATGTATATTGAAGCTGTAAATTTAGTCTTTAAGAATATAGTTTTGAAGAATAACTATTAAAGCAAAAAACGAAAAGTTATCATTGGACTTAAAGGCGATTAAGAACGTAATTTACCATTTAATATTTAATGAAACAGTGCTCTATCAACAAAATATAAAAGTTCTCGTCGGATGTTATAGCAATGAAGAACTTAATTTGGCTATTCTCGGTTGTCAACCTTACGAACACCCGCCATCAATGTAATATAGTGCTACCAAGAAGTGAATGAACTTATATAACCAGAGAAGTTATTAAACCAGGCTTGTGAATTTTAAAATTTATAAGTTTATTATCACGAAAGCAATTTTCAAAATATCTGCGGTAAAGAACAAATAATATAATCATAATAATAGATTTCGCTGAAACTAGTCATATGGTTTAATCTCAAGCGAAAGCTGGTACAAATCGACTTAAAACTATTTAAAATCTTTAACCTAGAAGTTGTAGATGCTGCATGAACATTGTCTTTTGCATAGCCCTACATAAAAGTCCAACGGTGTCCAATCGCAGAATCTCGGTGGCCACTCGCCAAGGCGATAACGCGGCCGAAGATTTTCTCTGGCAATAACTTCATGATCCTAATTCTGGACCTAAGCACCGACGAGGAAAGCACCGCAATCCCAGAAGTTCTTGCAGAGATAGAGTGGGCCAAATTAGTACAGTTAAACTTCACTCTGCACGCTGAAGAAACGCGACAGATCAACAGAGGTTCCGGTGAACAAGCCTAAACGAGTGAGAACTCAAGGACCATTTTTACCGACGTTGCAAAGGAAAGCATACTCCAGAGAATAGGCAATCATGGGGAAGGCCAGGTGCTTAGAGCCCAATGGAAATGGGTCTGGGAAAACTGGTTTTGACACGGTCACTGTCAAGCTCTACAATAACGACCTCCACGCGTCGAAGAACCGACTTGTTGATGAAGAGCCGGTGGAAATCAATGTTGATGAGGATGGTAAGACCGGTGAGAGTGAACGATCCTATGGATTCCACGGAAGGCTTCGTGTCATCTACTTCGTCCTTATGTCTGGACCTTACTTTCAGACAAAAAAGGGAGGAGGAGCTGATGTCGGAGGGTGCAATAGCTCGGGCAAGAAACATTTGGATTGAGATTCAGCAAGCACCTATTGGTAGGTAGTTCTAGGAATGGCAAGCTAAGAGCCTGTAAATTTTCTTGCTAGCTCAAACCTAAAAATTTTGTTTCTTCCTCAATATTCGTCACAGCAGAACAAACAATCTTGAAGGAGAAGGATAAAACTGAAGGTTATCTTCAATTAACCTGGCATACGAACATGTTATACCCACCCAGTCCGTGGCTTAGCTGGTGCAGGATAACACCGAACTTTTTGTTATTGCAGGGGACGTGAACGCCCACCAAGTAGTTTGGGTAAGCACAGACAGCAAAGAGAGGGAGAAGTCTCTTTTTGATTTAATTTTAAGTTCAGGACTGATTATAATCAACAAAGGAAACGATCCTACCTTTATCACTAGCAATAGAACAGAGGTTCTAGATGTAACACTGACCTCGTTGTAAGCCAACTAAAATATGCTGATTGGCAATTATATAGGCAAAATTTAAAGTTACTTCTTTCAGAGACCTAGATAGCTTCAACTTTTGCAAGCACAATAGAACTGTAAGAGCTGGTTAGCCGGCTTACCAGGCTTCTGAGGGGCTAATTGAAACCACCATGGTGAGACTCGGATCTACGAAATCTGAGGAAGGTTTATTGGAAAGCTTTTAACACAGCTTCTGCATACTCTGGTGATATTTTTATTCGCAGATGCTGGTTTAAAATGTCTGAGATCACAGCGTCCGTTGCCCTCTATATCTGCGAAGGAGCGATAGGCCGGAAATGCGGCATGTAACCCAGTGCGGCCGCTTTATATCACAGTTGTGATACTTCTTTATGGGGTACGGTCATTGCTATGCGTTAGACACTAATGGCGTCGAGTCTTCTAGAGAAAAGTAGAGCGAAGGTCGAGTGGGCCTTATCGTAGATAGGGCGGACACGACCGGGAAGTGATATTGAAATGACTCAGCAAATGGAGCTGGAGATCAAATTGTTGCTCTATCTCGCCGAACTGCAGGAGGCAGTCGATAACGAGGAAGCTGAAGCTAAGCAGTATGGTTAAGCGCTCGGGTGACACTCATGCGGATCCGAAACCTCACCCATGGAGATACGTCGCGTTGTTGAAAGTCGGGTCTCAGAAACCAGAGAATTTGTTGAAGTGGGACGTGCACTTCATTGGCAAGAAAGCGGGTATGTCGCTTTTCGCACTTCAAGAACGAGTTGAGAAGTTGAGTGATGCACGCTGTGTGATTATAGCACAAATCTTCAGGGGCGCGGTGGATCTATTCGTAGAAAATGCTCTATTATGCTTAGGGTCGGACAGGAAGTCTTAAGGTAGCTGAGAGGAGCTAGTAAGAGATTTGAAGTTTGAGTTTTTACATTTCAATCACGACGACCCACTATGGATTAGGTTGGAAGAAAGACTCAGGGAGCGAATGAGTCTATAGGTATAGTATATGTCGAGACGATGAAGATCATGTTTGGTAGGCTTCAGGAGCCGAAAAATGTTAGGATTGATAAGGGCGAATCTCCTGCCATTATGGCACTAGTTGGCAGAGTCAGTTAGGTCATCGGCTGGTATAGAGGTCGCGGCGGTAAAGGACCTGGACCACGTTGTTAGTGTTAGGCCGGGGCGGAAACCCGGTGCTTTAATTGTAGCGTTTCGGCTACATTGCTGCAGACTGCAAGATGTGGCTAAAGTGCTTCGGGTGCGATAGACTTGTTGTCATGAAGCGGACTACAATGCGTTCGCAGCGAAGCCAAGTGGATCCAAGTGTTCCCAACGAAGTACGGCCTTAGTTGGTGAGCAAAACCGCAACCCTGACCTGAAAGCAAGTAAATCGGATTACAGAATATGGAATTCTCGGTTGGAAACAGGAGATAGGCAGGAATTTCAATACAGCTGGCTTAGAAGGGTGAGCTAGTAAACCTGCTCATACTCAGCTGGCAAACATATGTGTTGAGGTTGAAGAAGTTTCGTTGGTTTGTTGACGCACGTATTTGAATGTTAAGATCCAAGGCAGATTAAGTTGGATAAAATTGCGTTCGTTTGGAATTAGGGTACTCTTTTTCTAATTTTTCGAGTGTGGCTCTTGCGAAAGGGGTCATATCTCGATGTGAGGTTCGGCTTTGTTGCCAATCGAGGTGGAGGGCAAGTCTGTTCTCCTGGAATGCCTCCTGGTTCCAGAATTACCTCAGGGCAGAATCGTTGGCATCGATTTTTGGGCCAAGACGGTTATTATCCCGGATGTATCGAAAATGAGTCGTCGTTTTCTCGGCCGGAAACAGAACCGTTGGTGGCAATAGTGCACCACTCCGAGTTAGGCGATAGAGAGTCTAGAATATTACGTCAATTGATAGCTGGGGCGTTCCATGCTATGCTGGAAAGGCTAGGCGGGACCCATTTAGTCAGAATAAAAGCACGAGGTAAACCCCTAAAACCTGTGTCTCCTGTCACACAACCGCGTATGGTCGAGGAGATTAAGGATATGTTCGACAAAGTGTAAATCACATAGGTTTTGGGCGTTCCAGTAGCTTTGTTCAGGAAAAGAGACGGCACATAAAAGTTTTGAGTAGACGATAGAATTTTCAATAAGAGTACCGTTAGTTACCCTCTTCCATATGTGACGGCGACCTCAGATAAGCTAAGGGATGCCAAGTTTCTTTCCGATCGGCACATAAAGTGCGCTTATTGGCACTTTTCCGGTCGAGCAGCAGTTGAGGCCCTTTACAGCGTTCACGGTACCAGGCAGAGGACTATTTCAGTTTAAGAGGATGTCATACGGTTTGCATAATGCAGAGCTCGAACCTCATGTTTTTGTGTATTTGGACGATATTATTATAGTTACATATAATTTTGAGCATCATTTATAGATTTAGCAAAATGTTTTAAATAGACTAGCTAGAGCAGGGCTAAGACTAAATTTGGCACAAGTGAATCTTTTGTAAGCCTGAGTTGAAATATTTGGGCTGCGTGGTGGACAACAACGGTCTGCACGTAGGCCCAGAGAAGGTTAAGGCGATGCTTCTGCTTCCTGGTACCTCAGATTTATAAAATATTTTACAGAATTAGTTAGGCGTCTCACCGAATTAACAAAATGGAATCGAAAGTGCAAATGGGCTGAAGATTGTGAAAGCAGCCTTTATGCAGTGAAGAAATGCTTGGTGACAGCTCCGGTTTTGAGCTGCCCAGATATTGATAGGCCCTCCACAATCCAGACCGAAGCTCCCGCAATACGATTTTGATATTGTACAGCGCTGGTTAGTACGGAAGTAAGTACCACCGCCTCTTGGTTGGAAAGGAGGATTCAGTTAGAGGAGAAAAAGCCTCTGTCGTATGCATGTATGTAGCATGGAAAGTTGAAGCTGGCAATCTCTACGAGTGTGTTGGTTCGATATTTGCTTTTGTTTATGGTGATTCTCCAGAGTGATAGGTCGTGACGATAGAGACGAAATTCAGAACCAATATCACTACAGTCCGTTGGCAGGCCATATGTGTGTGGAAAGACTTTTACTCGAGTGAAACGAGTGGCCGAGGTTGAAGGCGGACATTGCAAAATATGTTAGGGCGTGTAAAGCGCGTCAGCAGGTGAAACCTTTGCGTAGATCTGGGGGAGCCTCTACTAAAGGCGTCACAAGGTTACCAGTATATTTTAACAGTTGTGGACCACTTTTCCAAATTTCCCCTTCTATTCCCTTTGCGTACTGCAACATCAACGTCTCTTGTTTTTAGCAGAGATGGCAGTTGCAGTCCCATAATTGATACAAAATGGTTTCCAGTGCAAATCTTTTCGCTTATCTGATCACTGTAGTGTTTTTCATGCAGAATTATTGGCCAATTGTCTCAGATCAATGGTACTTTCAGATAATCGTTTCCATATATATCAATCTACATCTGTAACAGTAAAATATAAAGCCGTAGGAGACTTTCGAAAATCACTTAACGGGCTAAGCAGTTCTTTCTGAACCTGGTATGTGGCCTGGGTCACAATAACATACCGGGTAATTAGATGCGTAACGAGCTTGCCAGGAGAGGTACTTGCCTTTCACTTTTGCCATCGTTTAAGAGTTTATACATGCCGCTCTCCACTGGTTAGCTCAATATAGAAGAGATATGCATTAAAAGTGCTAACCTAAGATGGGGAAGTCTCAATGTGGCCAGAATCGAACAGTAGAAGGTCACGTGACCTTATCGAACTGAAAAGGAAGGAGGCGTCTACAGCTATAGGGCTTTTTACAAGACATATCTAATTGGGCAGGCATAAAAAGAGATTGGGTGTGCCATCTAATGATTTCTACAGAAATTTGGCGGCAAAAAAAAGCACCTAAGCATAGGCACTTTCTTTGCGAATGCTCCGCACTTTGGAGAAGTAGTTTGAAGTCCCTAGGGGAGGTAATCACTTAATGTGACGCATCAACAGAGAGAGGGGGAGAGGTACTCTTCCCATTCGACTTTAATCAGAAATGTCGACCTATAACATATATTTTTGAAAGATAGTGGTTGATG